CAATTCATTCCCGACATCCGATCCTCAGCCAAAATATTTTTATCATGGCTCATACCCGTCACCCGGACCTCAGCCAAAATTTCATGATGACCCCTTCGCATCACCCAATTCCTAGCCCTTTTTTTAGGAAGTGAAAGGGTAAATGGGATTCACTGCCAAGAACAAAACAAAACAACCACATAAAAAGCAGAGAAATCTTCTTTTGTGAAAATTCAAAAGTTTTCTGTGTGTGTGTGTGTGTGTGTGTGTGTGATTGTGTGTATGTGTTTATGTCTGTCTCTCTCTCTTTCTCTTTCTTTCTCTCTCTCTCTCTCTCTCTCTCTCTCTCTCTTTCTCTCTCTCTCTCTCTCTCTCTCTCTCTCTCTCTCTCTCTATTTTATTTCTTGACATGTATCATATAATTTCAGTATCATTTTTTGTTTCTCTTTCTTTTTATTATTTTTATTTTCAAGGATATTTTGAGATATCCATAATGCCATTATCATGGATAAAAGAGAAATCATCAGGAGAAAAACCCACAATGCACAAACTATGTTTATAAAAAATGAAATCCTCCTGAACTCCATCTTCAGAGCATTGTTATATCTTAGTATTTTATAAATTCATGGAATAGGTAATGATACTCAAAAGCAAATTGGAAAGTATTGCAAATTGCACTGTTACATTGCATGCATGTACATGTTTGAGATTGGTTTCAAAATGTTATTCTTATGTGAATTGTGTGAGAATGTGAAGTCAGTGTGTTAAACTAATATGGAAAGGAACTGGTACTTTTACCGTATGTCTGAGTACTTACATTATTAATTTTGATTGAGTACTTTTATCAATTGATTGAATAATCTTAATCATTTGACTAAGCAACTCTATCATTTGATCAAGAACTGTTTACCCTTTTCTCAATTGACTGAAGAGTCGAATCCCCGGCAGGTGAAGTCAGCGAGTGTCAAAAATGAAGCGAGAGTGGGAGCCAAGTCTTCCTCATCCTCCTCGGGCAAGAGCTATAGGTGCCTTAGCTGTCCCTACAGTTTCCCGAGCCCCTCCCTCTTGAGGACGCACATCCGGACACACACGGGAGAGAAACCCTTTTCTTGCTCCGTTTGCTCCTACCGCTCGGCCCGGAAGTATGATCTGAAGACCCACATGTGGATCCATACCAAGGAGAAGAGTTATAACTGCTCCTTGTGCTCATTCAAGACAGCCAATAAACAGAAGTTGAAAGTACACCTCAGGGACCACTCTAGTGAGAAACAGTAGCACTTGCATTGACCTGCAGCAGCCACTTGAAAACCCAAATATGAAGAGATGATGAAACAGTTTAGTCTGTCCACATTCTGAAGTTGAAAATAATCAGATATTTTCATGTTTTCCTTTTAAGGTCAAGGGAATGAGAATGTGTCTTTATTATCTAATCATAATGTTTTCAATTCTGGGTATTAAATATAGATAATTGTTTGATTATCATATGGAATTTACTCAATGATATGGCCATTTTGAGTTAATAAAGTAAGATATTCTTTGACAAATATCTAGTACTCAAAAAATACTTTAGTTTTATATTTTGTCACTTGTCACAAAAAATGCGTAAAATACCTCTAAGAAATTTATAACCTAATTATAGGATATATGCTCTGATATCTGTCTATTAGAATGTAAAAACTTTGTATACCTCCTATGATAAATGCTAACAAAAGAATACATATTAAAAATAGCATATGCTATTTTTTCATTTAAAAAGAATAAAAAGATTTATTTGATAAAGTTTAGTTATTCTCATTATGTTATGTATTACTCCCAAATATAATAAATAAGGGTGAAGAATTCTACAGCAATCAGGTATTTCTAATATTAGAATTTTTGCATCATTTGCTTTTGTTAAAAGGGAGGAAATGTCTTATATATAAGTCATGAAGTACATAAGAAAAATGTATATATGTATAGGATCTTTAAGATTGTATGTTTTGATATTAAATCTCTCAGTAAAGTAACTGGAGAATTTATTAGCAGACTGTAATATTATTCCTTGACTATTAAATCTGTGTAAGTAATTTTTTTTAATCATCCCAAAATTATAAACAGTTACATATTTCTGGCAAAAATGATGGGCTCACTCACAGTTATATAACTGCTAAATTTTAAAAAGTAGATGAGGAATGAAAGAATTATCACAAGAATTAACCATGATTTAAAAGCTTTGAAAGTTGTTTTATCTTTTAGACATCATGATTATCTTGAATATTTTCATAAGAAAATGTAGTGCAAGGAAAATTTATTTGGATGTTAACTCATTCATACCTATTTGTAAACAATGCAAAGAAGGAAGGCAAATAATAATTTGACTGTATAATATTGGAACAAGAATAAGAGTTAATTTGCACAGGGATACCATATGAACCAGTTTGTGAAGGAAAATAGTTCTTGATTATGTGAACTGTGTAAGAATGTGAAGTCAGCATGACAAACTAATATGGAAAAGAACTGGTACTTTTACCATACGCCCGAATACTTACATCATTACTATTAATTAAGTACTTACATCATTAATATTGATTGAGTACTTTTATAATTTGATTGTGAATAGTCTTAATCATTTGATCAAGAACTGTTTACCCTGTTTTCATTTGACTGAAGAATCAAATCCCTGGCAGGTGAAGTCAGCGAGTGTCAAAAATGAAGCGAGAGTGGGAGCCAAGTCTTCCTCATCCTCCTCGGGCAAGAGCTATAGGTGCCTTAGTTGTCCTGACAGTTTCCCGAACCCCTCCCTCTTGAGGACACACATCCGGACACACATGGGAGAGAAACCTTTTGCTTGCCCTGTTTGCGCCTACCGCTCGGCCCGGAAGTATGATCTGAAGAAACACATGTGGATCCATAACAAGGAGAAGAGTTATAATTGCTCCTTCTGCTCATTCATGACAGCCAACAAACAGAAGTTGAAAGTACACCTCAGGGACCACTTTGGGGAGAAACAGTAGCACTTGCATTGACCTGCAGCAGCCACTTGAAAACCCAAATATGAAGAGATGATGAAACAGTTTAGTCTGTCCACATTCTGAAGTTGAAAATAATCAGATATTTTCAAGTTTTCCTTTTAATTTCAAAGGAATGAGATTATGTCTTATTTATCTAATCGTAATGTTTTTAATTCTGGATATTAAATATAGATAATTGTTTGATTATCATACGGAATTTACTCAATGATATGGCCATTTTGAGTTAGTAAAGTAACAGATATTCTTTGACAAATATCTAGTACTCAAAAAGATACATCAGTTTTACATTGTCACATGTCACAAAAATGCGTAAAATACCTCTAAGAAATTTATAACCTAATTGTAGGATATGTTTTCTCTAATATCTGTCTAATAGAATGTAAATGCATTGTAAACCTCCTATAATATTTATGTGTATTACTCCCAAATATAATAAATAAGGCTGAAGAATTCTACAACAATCAGGTATTTCTAATATCAGAATTTTTTGCATCATTTGCTTTTGTTAAAAGGGAGGAAAGGTATAATATATAAGTACATAAAAAAATGTATATATCATGTATAGGATCTTTAAGATTGTATGTTTTGATATTAAATCTCTCAGTAAAGTAACTGGAGAATTTATTAGCAGACTGTAATAGTATTCCTTGACTATTAAATCTGTGTCAGTGATTTTTTTTTAATCATCCCAGAATTATAAACAAATACATATTTCTGGCAAAGTGAATGGCTCAGTCACAGACTTCTAAAACTGCTAAATCTTAAAAAGCAGATGAGGAATGGGTGCATTCATGAAAGAATTATCACAAGAATTAACCATGGTTGAAAAGCTTTGAAAGTTGTTTTATCTTTTAGACATCATGATTATCCTGAATATTTTCATAAGAAAATACAGTGCAAGGAAAATTTATTTGGATGTTAACTCACACATGCCTATTAGTAAACAATTCAAAGAAAGCAGTCAATAATAACGGGAAAAGTTCCTAATTTGATTGTAAAATATTGGAACAAGAACAAGAGTTAATTTGCACAAAATAGTTCTTGAATGTAATTTGTGAACTAATTTGTGCTTTACAAATGTTTTGACTTGTTCAGTGTTGCATGATATCATCAGTAACAGACTTCAGCAAAACCTAGTAGTGTTGCTTTGATTTAGTCTTTTGAGAGTGAAGCTCCTTTGAATAGGTTATTATATGATGATAACTTAACTCACTCACATAACATGTTGATTGAGATACCCAGAAGGGTTTGTAAATTCTATCTTTGTATCACTTAAAAACTCACCATCAAGGTTAGACTCTTGAGCCCTCACATAACATCTCCGGGTCAGACCTCTGAGAATGCCTTTGGTATCAAGATCTAATAAAAATTCTATGACACACCTTGTAGTTCTGTGATATATATTGCTGAACTTTGTCCTATGCTTCGTTTTGACACAGTTCACATCAAGGTGCATGAAGGGCCAAGATATTGTATCATGAAATTTTTCTGTTATATTATTTTTGTTAACTGAAGAAAATTATAGCCCACTCTGCATACTCTGGTGCAAAATTAAAATCAAGTGAGGGGAGTATTTCGACAGATTTAAACATGACCCTGTATTTTATTGTGGTATTCTTTGGTGCCAAATAAAAAAATCCAATCCAGCAATCCTTCCAGCCCTTATAGTCAACATTTTCTTATGCTCGGAGTCTGCGATGTCATGATAGGCAATATAATTGATTTTTGCCAGACAAAATCACCTTTGAAACTATTGAAGCTCTCCCAGCAAAATATTCTTTCCAGGGAGATAAAATGTGATCTAACAAATTGTCATATATATAGAGATTGACTTTTCCAACTAATATTAGTGTGGTGGTACACTCCCCCTGGTGTTCAGCCCCTAGTCATTGATTGGCTGATGTTTGCATTCGGTCAAATGCATATGGGATGTCAGTGACTAAATGTATACTTGAGATGTCTCTTGCATGAGGATTAAGCTGCTGGATATTGTTCTTGTTATTATTATTA